AGGAAAACGGATGTGTAAATTTAAATCCTATGGTATTACTTTTGTGAAAAAAGATATGTTAATTTATCTTTTTACAAATAAACATATGTTTAACAATTAAGAAAAGCAATGGCGTTATCAAATCTTGGTACATTTATATAAGAATATCCATGAATATCAAATCCAATAATTTTACACATTGGAAAATAAAATTTTGACAAGTGAAGATGGGTTAATATTTAGATTCTTCTTAGATAAAAGAATTCTTTGTTTTACGATTTTATGATAATGTATAATTTTTTTTTTAAAAAGGCAAAAATATCTTTAAATTTTGGATGAAGATATCAATATATATCCAATTCAAATACAAATATATTTATATCATATGTAGAGTTTTTGTTGTAAATTTAAGATTAGTTTTTTTTTTAAATTTTATAGAAAAAAGTTGTAATTCAAGGGCTCGAAAAGGAGTAAATCTGAAGTATTTCTCTAGCGTAGTACTTGTCCCTCAATTAACATCTTTAGTGACAAAAGCGATATAATTAGTGATAATTTAGACTGGGTAATTTAAGGTCATCTTTATAGGGGGAAAAGTAGTTTAGGAGCGTGAAAGGGTGTAGGCTACGCGTATCATATATAGCCGATAAACACTTCTCAAAACTTAATGATGTTAGAAACTTAAATATATTACATTTTAAAAGTTATGAATTGGTATGAGTTTTTGCAATAGCAGTTCGGAATTATCGCAAAGGATCTACCATTATTATCCCGATAACATCGGGTCATTTATTCTAGTTCTTAAGACACCAACAAGGAGTGGATGTTCTTAAGACACCAACAAGGGGTGGATATTCTTAAGACACCAACAAGGGGTGGATATTCTTAAGACACCAACAAGGGGTGGATGTTCTTAAGACACCAACAAAGGATGGATGTTCTTAAGACACCAACAAGGGGTGGATATTCTTAAGACACCAACAAGGGGTGGATGTTCTTAAGACACCAACAAGGGGTGGATGTTCTTAAGACACCAACAAGGGGTGGATGTTCTTAAGACACCAACAAGGGGTGGATGTTCTTAAGACACCAACAAGGGGTGGATGTTCTTAAGACACCAACAAGGGGTGGATGTTCTTAAGACACCAACAAGGGGTGGATGTTCTTAAGACACCAACAAGGGGTGGATGTTCTTAAGACACCAACAAGGGGTGGATGTTCTTAAGACACCAACAAGGGGTGGATGTTCTTAAGACACCAACAAGGGGTGGATGTTCTTAAGACACCAACAAGGGGTGGATGTTCTTAAGACACCAACAAGGGGTGGATGTTCTTAAGACACCAACAAGGGGTGGATGTTCTTAAGACACCAACAAGGGGTGGATGTTCTTAAGACACCAACAAGGGGTGGATGTTCTTAAGACACCAACAAGGGGTGGATGTTCTTAAGACACCAACAAGGGGTGGATGTTCTTAAGACACCAACAAGGGGTGGATGTTCTTAAGACACCAACAAGGGGTGGATGTTCTTAAGACACCAACAAGGGGTGGATGTTCTTAAGACACCAACAAGGGGTGGATGTTCTTAAGACACCAACAAGGGGTGGATGTTCTTAAGACACCAACAAGGGGTGGATGTTCTTAAGACACCAACAAGGGGTGGATGTTCTTAAGACACAAACAAGGGGTGGATGTTCTTAAGACACCAACAAGGGGTGGATGTTCTTAAGACACCAACAAGGGGTGGATGTTCTTAAGACACCAACAAGGAATGGATGTTCTTAAGACACAAACACGGGGTGGATGTTCTTAAGACACAAACAAGGGGTGGATGTTCTTAAGACACCAACAAGGGGTGGATGTTCTTAAGACACCAACAAGGAATGGATGTTCTTAAGACACCAACAAGGAATGGATGTTTTTAAGAAACCAACAAGGAATGGATGTTCTTAAGACACCAACAAGGGGTGAATGTTCTTAAGACACCAACAAGGGGTGGATGTTCTTAAGACACCAACAAAGGATGGATGTTCTTAAGACACCAACAAGGAATGGATGTTCTTAAGACACCAACAAGGGGTGGATGTTCTTAAGACACCAACAAGGAATGGATGTTTTTAAGACACCAACAAGGAATGGATGTTCTTAAGACACCAACAAGGGGTGAATGTTCTTAAGACACCAACAAGGGGTGGATGTTCTTAAGACACCAACAAAGGATGAATGTTCTTAAGACACCAACAAGGAGTGGATGTTCTTAAGACACCAACAAGGAATGGATGTTCTTAAGACACCAACAAGGGGTGGATGTTCTTAAGACACCAACAAGGGGTGGATGTTCTTAAGACACCAACAAGGAATGGATGTTCTTAAGACACCAACAAGGGGTGGATGTTCTTAAGACACCAACAAGGGGTGGATGTTCTTAAGACACCAACAAGGGGGTGGTTGTTCTTAAGACACCAACAAGGGGTGAATGTTTTTAAGACACCAACAAGGGGTAGATGTTCTTAAGACACCAACAAGGGGTGGAGGTTCTTGCCGGTCCACACAACGGGAACATGTTAAGTTGTTGTTTTTTAATTAAAAAATCATAATAAAATACATAAATATGCCACTGGTCAAGATTGTAATTTCGAAACGTATCTTCCGGCCAGGCGAACTTAAACGTTTGGAACAACTAGTAAAAAAAAAAACCCTCACAAATTGACGTGCGCGCCACCTCTACCCATCCATCATTGATTTTAAGTTAAATGTAGTTCAGTTGGACTTTTATCTAGTAAATTTTTAACAGCATAAGAAAATATCTGTAAAAATTTTTAAAACTTGTTAATTTTGTCATGAAGAATTTTATTGCCCTTGTAAGTGGAAAATAGTTAATGCTTACGATTTAAATAGAAGTATGAAATATTTTCTTATATATTTACACTTTTATTTTTAAACCAGACGCTAGCTTCCAAGAGTTCGACTGAGAGTCCATATTTTGTTCAGAGCGCCATTCCAAAAAAAAAAAAAAAGTTAGATTTTAAATTAGCGTTTAAGTCTAGTTACCGCTGTCTTGACCCATGGCCTGGCCTATTGAACAGGTCAAAACAAGGAAGGTTATGGGTCAAACTCAAGCACATAACCTGAGATACCCTCATGGATTTCACAATGGGGCACCCGGGAAAATCTTGTGTAAAAGTAAATAAGTCTGAGAGTCTAGACAAATTGTTCGCCTAGTTTTATTACTCACGCCTTGACATCAATAGGATAGAACAAACACGCGTTGACATCAATAGGATATAACAAAGAAATTGAGAATGATTTTTAAAAAAATGACTATTTTTGTCCGCCAGATAAAAATATCTTTAAAAAAGACCCCCCAAAAAATTAATGAAACTAAAGCAGAAGAGCTGACCCAACAGCCCCTTTACCTTTAGCCACCATGACAGCCAATAACCTAACACGTGGTATAAGACACAACACAAGACTGCATGCGTTTGTTTTACTTGCTATAGCTAAAAGTCCTTTTTTTTCCCCCATGATCTGTTATTGATTTTGTTTTTCTAAAGATGTATTTCAGCTCTGAAAAAATTTATTTTATTGAAAATTTAATTTCTAAATTTTTTTGTCATCAGTTGATAGTAAATTTGATCTCATATGTCCTAACGATAATCTGTTAAAAAAATTTTTTTTAAATATCAGGGTTGTTCATCTTGGTTCACACGTATTCGAGTCTGTGGGCCAATAACATTTTATGACCAGCGCCTCATGCACATGCCCCCGTCTTAGTGGTTGTGTTTCTGTGCTTCCGTAAACGTCTTCATCACACTGATCCAGGCAAGGTGCTGAACCAGAACCTAGGGGAATCAAAAATATGTAAGACGCCGTGTGTTTTAGATGAGCTTAAAAAAAATGTAGCATGCAGAGTATGCAAATAATAATAAAAAAGTTGGTTTACAATTTTAAGCACAGATGATTTACGATACATATATTAACGCATTCTGCGAATATATTAAAATAAATATTTACTAAATGATCTCACTAGAGAAGTTAGGCTGATGAAATAGTTATTTCCCTGGTGAGCTTCAGATAAACTTTACAAAAAAAAAAAAAAATTTTTTTTTTTTTTTTTTTTTTTTTTTTTTTTTTTTTTTT